ATTCATTACAGACCTTGTAGACCTTTTTTTTTTTTTTCTATTTCCATTTCTTTCCAGTAATCTTCATGCAGGCCTATTGCATCTTTCTTGATTCAATACATCCACCTGATTTTTGGCCTTCCAATTCTATTTCCTACTATTGAGGCATTCGTTGTTGATTAGAGGATGGATTGCTCCAAGCTACATGCCCTGTCCATCTTAATCTACCTGCCTTCTATCATTAAATATTGATTGGTCAGTTTCTGTAAGCAGCTTTTTATTGGTCTTTATTCTTCATGTGTCAGTACTCTGTATCCTTGAACGCTCCGGTCTAAAACCGGATTATACCATCAAATGAACAGATTATTGTTATATAACAAGCAATTAAATGGTTCAATTTTAAACGTTAGTATCTATTATTAATTAAAATGCTTAAAAGGGCACAGAAAAGATTAATTTTTGATCAGAATTTTATAAAATAACTAGATAGTTTTGTGCAAAAAAGGGTACGCTACCTCAGTATCATATGATCGCCTGTCTGTTTTTTATTGAATTTATCGAACTATGCTCGATATGATATTTACTGCTCTTTATATGCGATCATAAACGTAAAGATATATTGGAAAGTGGTTTTCCTGGGTGTAAGAATGATATCGAAGGATGGGCAATTATCGAACCTCCAGGTACTGAGAGTAAAAGGTTGGATATAGGAGCCCACGCAGTTTCCTTCGAAGCCTAAGTTAAGTTATCGTCGTAAGAGGAATTCTTCCGGAAGATCGCTTCGGTTTCCTTCACTTTATAGAGGGTTTATTGGTCCGCTCGGAAATTAGGCCTATACAAATTGACTGAACGTTACTTCTATTTTTATTATGACGAAGAAATCCGTTTACTACTTAAATTATTTTTTTTTTGGAAGAGATTTAATAATAATGGCGATAGAAGTTATTCATAGTCATTCGATGTTCCTCCAACTTTTAATTTTTCACTTGTAAGTAAACTATAATCTTGTATAGTAAATAATATTGTATAAATAATCTAACGAATCTAATCGTTGTGAGGATATCAAGCGAGTCTAAATAAAGCAGATCAGCGCACTCTGCAACGATTATTGCTAAAGACATTAACTAAAGCAAAGCAAGG